GTTTTGATACATATTGTGATTTTTTTGAGTTGGTGAGGTTTCACTTCAGGATGGTCATTTGTTTTCCAAGTCGTAACATTTTATCTTGAGTGGTGAAATTTTATCCTGGGCGGTAATATTTCACTTAAGGCTGGTGATTTCCAATTGGAGTCGTAAGATTTTACCTGAGGTGGTGAAATTTTGTCTCGAGGGGTGCGACTTCTGTTGAGGTGGTAGGATGGTGTGGTGGGTGGTAAGATTAGATGTTGTGGTGGTGAGAGTATTGTAATGGTGGTGAAATATCTATATGTTGCACTTGATGATTAGGGGACTTAGCAATTTTCGAATAGGCCAATAGATATACTTATCTAGCTAGGGATTTCTAATAGACGCTGTACGGAGTCTATTGGTTGATACGCACTGCTGTATCTTCCAATAGGTTTGGTAAGGTTAAGTACGTACAGGTGGTTTTCTTGGTTCCGGGCCTTCAAATGCAAAGTTCACCATCACTGTAAACATCATTCAGCTTCCCCACATTGGAAGAGGAAAATGATTAATAGTACAGTTTGTCATAAAAAGATCCAATACTGCTCACCTGAGCCTCAACACCCACACTACATACATATGCGCAGCAAGCTAAGTGGATAGTTGTCTATCATGTACATACAGGTATACTCAGTTTTTTGCCCATCAGAATAAATAAATCACATGTTATAGCACATGTAACTTTTTTGACTTGGAAAAAATGTCCCAAAAATTCACTACATATAATTCTGTAGCTGCTCAGGCAATATTCTTGAAGCTATCTGTTAGTAACAGAAAGGGTGTTACATGCAGTTGAGTTGATGAGATTACACTATAGAGGGCTGTGACCCGGACCCGGACCCGCCCAGCCGACTCTGCCCGACAGCTCTCACAGAGCTGACAGTATGCACCCCGGGGCTTTCAAACCTCGCTGAAAGACGGTAAACGTGGCCCCGCAGAGGCGTCGGGCAGCTCCGGCGCCCGAACCGGCCGAGGCGCCCACCATGTTTCCGCCAGCTATATCTCACCAAATTCCGTATACAGGGTGGGAAGATTGTATTCTGACAGACCTAAACCGTGATTGGACTTCTAGAATGCCCTGCATTGCCACTCTGGTGCGCCCTGGTTGGCCCTGCGCATATTTTGAAGGTACTCGGGTCTACCCAAGTCCGGGTTTGGCCCCAGGGCAGCCTCGTCAGACTCAGGGCCGGGTCACAGCCCTAGATTAAACCCAGATGTTAAGTCAGTGTATGTAGTCTATTTCTTGAATGCTTTTGTCAATCTGAAAAAAGTTACAGCATGTATTACATATGAATAACTTATCCTGATGAGCAGATAACTGAGCAGAACTGTATGTACATGATAACCACCTCTTCACTGAGCCTGCTACAAATATGTAGTGTGGGTGTTATGGCTCAGGTATGGAGTAATAGATCATTTCATGACAAATCAAACTCCCAATCATTTTTTCCTACCCACTTAGGGAAGTTGAACAATGTATCAATCAAAACCTTTTTTGTAGTCAAACCAAATAGCTCCTCAACTTCAAGACATTCAATTTTGAGATCTTTTTTTATCTGTCATGATCCTTCATTTGATCTTCTGAAAGATCATCTTTCAACACTTGTCTAGTTTTACATCAAATAAATCAAGAGATCCCAAAACTTATAGACTCACTTCTTTTGCTCACTTCTATCTGATCTAAACAGTCTATTGTATACATTAAGTAGACCTTTAGGGGGGGAAATGAAATCACATTCAATCCTACTCAAATCTTTCTTACCTTTTGGCGAGTTTTGTTGTTGGTGACAAGAATAACAAGTTTTCAAATTATGTATCTATCAACTCAGCTAATTAACTTAACAAAGCCCATGTTCTTGTACTTCAAAAATCTGGCAGAGTCACTTTGGATTAACCAGGTCAAGGTGAAAAATTACTGAATTGCTTTTTCAAAAAAGGTCCCTTGACAAGCTCAGCCTTTCCTCAAAAACTTTTCACAATTTCTTGTCTGAAACTCAATCAACAATTCTTAAACTTGGGTGTGAACTTGTATGTGAACCAGATTGACACAACGTATCCTCAAGATACATATAAACGAATGAATTTTATAAAGGTTTAGCCAAGATCATTTTATCTCTAGCTTGGCTTTACGCCTTATTTTACAGACCAGATGAAATCATTGTTTACTTAGGGTGTGTTCACTTAAGGAATTTCTGACCAGAAATCACATTCTGTGAATTTTTTAAATGCAAAAATGAAACATGCACCACCAAGTAGACACTTTAAATTTTGCAGAATGTGATTTCTCACCAGAAATTGCTTAAGTGAACACACCCTTAGGGCGCATTCACTTAAGGAATTTCTGACCGGAAATCACATGCTGTGAATTTTTTAATACAAAAATGAAACATGTGCCACCAAATAGACACTTTAAATTTGGAAGAATGTGATTTCTCACCAGAAATTGCTTAAGTGAACGCGCCCTTAAACTGGTTTTGAAGCATGAAAAGTTAATGTTATTGGTCAAAGAATTTTACTTTTACTGGTCTTGATGAATCACTCTCATTTTGGTTAATCTTTCTTGTTTGGTTCAGTTGATCAGTTCAAAAAACATCAAACTTCTGTTCTTCATACAATTCAAAATAAAAACTATAGTTTCTCATAATCAAATCCTACAAGTGAAGAACTCACAACTACAGCAATGATAAAATGATATAATAATTCAACAAACCTTCAAGATAACTGTTTCAAGAAAAAAACATATTGCATAATAAGATATTTAAAAGTTAAACCAAATCTTCTCTTTAAGATTCAACATCACTCCATCCATCATTTCTCAAAGCTTTTCACCCAAATTAATATGTACAGCCTAAACAAAACCAACTCAATCAGTTATTTTCTTTCAATCATACATTCTGAAAACTTGAAAAAACAATTCCTCAACAAACCTTGACAGCAGTATAATTAGCCAAAGCGTATTCTCCCAACTATGTAAAAAAATCAAACATCATCCCATAAGCCAAACGTTCCCTCACTTAAAAACTTACCACCAAAAAGAGAAAAAAAACATACCTCACGACCGATTCCACTTTGTTTAAACCCACCAAAAGGAACTTGAGTATGTAACTTATTATAACAATTCACCCAAACCGTTCCAGCTTTTAATTCGTTGGCAACTTTAATTGATCTTTGAATATCTTTAGAAAATACAGCAGCAGCTAAACCATAAATCGAACCATTGGCTACTTTTAATAAATCTTCTTCGGATGAGAATTTAGTGACTGCTACTACTGGTCCAAAGATTTCTTCTTTCATGATTTTCATTGATGGTTTTACATCGGTAAAAATTCTATCAAACAAAAAAGAAAACCAATATATAAATCTTTGGAAATTTTTGCTTCATTGTTTTTCTTGAAAAGAATACTCATCTGAATCAACGCAAAAAAAAGTGGACTCACGTTGGTTCAATAAAATATCCTTCATTTCCATACCGATTACCTCCTATTATACATTTAGCTCCATCTTCTTTACCAGATTGAATATATCCCATCACTCTATCAAATTGTAATTGAGAAACCTATTTCGAAACAAAAAACAGTTTCTGATCAGTAATAGATTTCTTATTTGGAAATTTTGATGACTTACTAATGGCCCTTGAAATGTGTTTTTCGAAAATGGATCTCCAACTTTAAAACTTTTAGCATACTCTTCAAATTTAACCATAAATTGCTAAAAAAACAAATTAACAAAACAAATCAGTCAAGTGTTAGACAAAATCAAAAGTTACCAAAGAGTGAGCTATTTTTTATTGCATAGGAAAAATAGAGCTCACATCATAAACAGCTTCATGAACAAAAACTCTTGATCCAGCACAACAGCATTGCTAATTTAATAAAACCCCAAAAATAATCAATCAACTTAACCTTCACAGAACAAAAACCATACTAAAAAGAAAGACTAAAGACTTACACCATGATTAAAAAAGATTCCAAATCCTGACCATTTCACTGCTTGATCTAAATCAGCATCATCAAAAATACTGAAAAACCCTCAAAAACAAATGAAACCAATTTCCATAATCAATTCAATTCATATCTCAGACTTTTTACCCATTCTCTAAAGAACAAGAAAACCCTTAATGTCTTACATAGTAGGAGACTTCCCGCCCAATTCCAACGTCACTTTCTTCAAATTAGACTCAGCCGCAGCCTTCATGATCATTTTACCTACCACCGTACTTCCAGTAAACGCGATTTTTTCAATTCCCATATGATGAGACATAGCCACCCCAGTCACAGGACCTAATCCCACAATAATGTTGATAACACCAGGTGGAAAGATTTTAGAAATCAATTGAGCCATGAAGAGAGCTGTTAATGGGGTTTGTTCGGCTGGTTTAATGACGATCGTGTTGCCTGTTGAGAGAGCTGGACCGATTTTCCAGGCGAACATTAATAGACTTTTTTGCGAAGAAAAAAACGTTGCTTAGGTTCTTGCTTCTTTGAATGATTCGTAGGTAATGATTGATCACTTACGGAAAATTCCTATTTTTTCATCAGTCGGATTGAAGAATGGTAATTGGTAAACAAAAGATCATGATTAGTTTGTTTTTTGATCCTTTACTTTAGCTTGAATAAATTCTTAAAGTTCAAAGAATGATTTATAGAATCTGAACAAACCAAGGAATAATTTGACCCACTACTCCAATCGGTTCATGTCTAGTAAAAGCCATCTTAGAATCATTTACTTCAATGACTTTACCATGATTTTTATCTGCCCAACCACCATACTTTTGCAGAGAAAGAAAAACCAATTCATGATTAACAAATCAATCGAAAAAAATGGGTTTTCAGGACTAAGAGATTTCTTATATTGAATCACATACATATCTTAAACAATGTGCAGCTTCAGGTACGTCAAAAGATTTAGCAATACTAAAAGCTTTACCATTATCAATAGATTCAATTGCCTTATGTCCCCCCCAAAAAACCAAAAAAAAAACATCAGAATCCATATTCTGCCCAAAAAGGAAGAATTTAAAGAAAGAAAAGACTCAACAGCTAAAACATCTAAATTTTCTTCAATCGCATCAGCTAAATCCATCAACATTCTACCTCTTTTCTGAGCAGGAGTTTTAGTTCCCCAATGATTTTCAAAAGCTTCTTGAGCCGATTTGACAGCTAAATCTACATCTTCTTTTGATGCTATTGATACCTTTCCAATCGGTTTACCTGTACTTGGATTGATCGTTTCTCTAAACCAAAAAACCAAAAGAAAACACCAGATGAATCCAGATGTTTTTCGGGTTGAAGAAGTTGGGAGAAAGAGACTTTACATTGATTTGTTATCACTTGATGAAACGAATTCATTGTTTATAAAAAGACCTGTCTAGTTTATCAAATCAAATCATAATCCATGAGATAAGTAATTTAGTAGTGATGATAAACTATAAAGGAGAAGGTGTCCGCAGTACCATTTACCTTTAAAGTGATAGGTTCTAAGTTAGTCTCGATTGGAAACTGGATTTTAATCTCAGGTATCATTTTACAGAGCTGACTCGAATTCGAATTTGATTGGTTGGTAAACAGAAGAATCACTCTTTCAACAAAACTGGTTATCTAGAACCAATCAAATCAAACTATAAATCCAATCCTCATATCCATTCGATCATGCTGTGAAAAGTTAAAAAGTTAATTTCAAACTCTATGTAAGCGATCATCTGATCTTCTTCTTCTTCTTCTTAATCATCATCATTAATCATTAATATTCAATTTGTTACATAAACTTTAAATCATATGACCTGTCATTCTGAAAGTTGATGTTCATCTAAGACTAAAACTCGAAAATCATCTTCTACATTTCCCTTTGTGAATTATGTAAAGATCACAATTAGTTAAGGATAACTCAGTTCAAAGTTCAACCAGGGTGGAGTGCGGGCTCTTGGATCATGTTTGGTAAATTTAAAACTTGTGATCGAATTGCAGCCATGGTAATCGAATGATGATAAAGGATCCTACTAGAGAAAAATAAAAGACAAATGAAAACACAACATTCAATGATTCCATACATCAAAAACTCGAAATGAAAGGAACGTGAGTCCTAACCAAAGGTACAAAGTAAAAGTGTGACCAAATTTGCCTGTGAAACTCCAACAAATTAGCGGGGGATTGATAACAAGGTTTTCTTTTCTGAATTGACTTTATAAATTCTTTCAAGATCACTCTGTATTGATCAACTTCAAATCTCTGGAGACAGGTACTGGGAATCTGAAGAAACATTGGATTCCTCTCATTAGTATTACAAGGTCTAGAAACTGCTCCTGCAGCCTGTTTGCTAGATACCTAGAGGGTCTCAATTTATGGTACAAATTACTCATCAAGTGGTTTCAAGTTGAAAATTTCACATCTCCTTACACTAAAACAACTTACCTGTTGTTGTAAAACATGCATACATTTTTTTCCTTATAAACAACTTGTGAAAATTTGAGAAAAGGTTGATGCAAAAAATCTTCTTGGATTTGTCAAAGCTACAATTTCATAGCATGGTTTTCATTTCTTTGATGATCAAGAAGCAAAGTACAGCCATTTCAAGAAAGGTTGACAACTTTTTTTTTTTTTTTTTTGGAGAAAGTTATCTCTGAAGGGGTTAAAACCATATACAAAAAACTTGATTACAGGTTTATTCTTTTCTGTATTCTTTCAATTAGTAGAGAGACAAAATCAAGTGAGGGACAAAACCTGGGTTTTGCACATTGGCAAGGAATTTTTTAAAAAAAAAAATCAATCTTTGTTGAAACAGCTGTTTTATAAACCTTGAATTTGGACTACATACAAAGTTACACATTGTTTTTAGATCCAAGTCCCATGATTTTAGTCTCCCACCTTCTCCCACACAATGATTTTTGTTTGCTTATTGAACATGGTCACATGATCTACTTGACTCTCATCTTACACTCAATATGGTCACATGACTCATTTATTTTCCAAATGACTCTACTTTCTTGCCATATAACCTATTTAAAATCAAAGGTAATTAAATTTCACCTCTTATGGCACATTGAAATTCTGACCAGAAATCACATTCTGTAAAATTTTTTAATGCAAAAATGAAACATGTACCACCAAATAAACACTTTAAATTTTGCAGAATCTGATTTCTTACCAGAAATTGCTTGAGTGAATGTTCCCTTGGTTTGATACTTCAATCCCAAACCCATTGAAGCAGAACACACCTTGCATGATTGAGAGTGGGTTTAGACCAACAGATCATATGGGCGGCGTCCTAGGACAGTCTACAGGTGATTTGGCTGGCAGGAAGTTGCACGTGATGGACAGCGCTTGGCGGCCTGAAGCCTTGCACGCATGGCGAGGCGCACTTGGCGATGACGTCACTCATGTGCAGGTCTGTTTGCAGCTTCACAACATGCATGATGTGTTTGTGTGCGTGAAACTTGAAAGACCGGTCTTGGATCACTTGAAGAATGATAGAAAGGAAAGACTCGAACAAGGGAATGAGTTAAAGATGTATAGCGAATCGATTCAAGTGAGTGAAATCCAAAATGATTATCAAACCTTTTTAAGATCCAACTGATTGAATGGTTGTAGTCATCACCTTTAGTAATCTTTTCATCTTTACCGATCTCATCACCATTTCGATCTACTTCGATTTCGATTGATCCAAATTTAGTTGAAGATTCATTAATTTGTTTATTAGATGATCATACTTCTTTACCAATTCATCATTCAACTTATACCTCAAACCAATCTCAAGATGAAAAGACTGTTAAAATCTTAGGATCAGATGATTCGTTACAATCTATTCGTTCGATCGTTTTACACTTACAATCACCAAATTGCCTATCTACTTTTATTCAATTCCCATCACCATCACAGGCTCAAAGATTAGGTATCAAATTACCTTTTTTACATTTTCAAATTAAGTTTATCAATCATCAATTCTTATTCGAAATTGAAACTCAAGATGATTCATTCAACTTACTAAGAATCAGATGTTCTACTTTCCAAGTTAACTTTTATTCATCTTCATTTTCCCAAAACATTTCATCATCATGAGTTTCTTTAAACTGATTCTTGACTTTTTTTTGGATGGTTTGGTAGAAAAAACCTAAATTCTATTCTGCTAATCTTTCTAATCGGATCCCATTACTACATCTTCCAATCCATCTACCCAACTCATCCATGAGCAGTAAACAAACAAACTGGTCCGAATTACTTATCCCGATCAAATCGATTACCGAAACCTATAGTCAATCGAAATTCGGATCCATTAACTCGATCAAAGTTCATTCGAATTGTAGACTTCGAAGGATTTATTGTTCAAGTGATGGGAAAGGATTCGGGTTAGGAGATCGAAGAAGAGATTCGAATCAAATGGTTTATGATCATAAGTTTGATCGAATGGTTCTTTCTTCTGGATCTAATCATCATCGTTCTGATCAAATCAATCAAATCAAATCTAATGAAAGAATCGAATTGATGTTGTTTAAATCTTCTAATCCTAATACTACTACTACAACATAAACCAAAACTTTGTATATAAAATAAACCAAGACCTTGTAATCCTTTTTAAAAGCTTTCTTACATCTTTGTTGACTTTAACCAAAAAGAACAAAGAACAAAGAGGAAAGATTGAAGATATGTATGGATAAGGCCCAGGGGTCAAGACTTAAGATTGGGATTTCAAATGGTCTGATTGAAGGAGAAGACTTTTCAAGACCACCAGAAGATCTTCAAGATCACCAGAAGATCTTCAAGAAAACAAAATTACTAAACATCTGGAGGTATAGTTACTACTGTCAAAGGCTTATGAATTCCAGCCCAAAGCTTCAAATCGAATGTTCTTTCTCAAAACTCAACATTTCAAGCGACTCAGAGCATCTCTAGAATGCTCAACCTACTTACTTTCTATCTATAAATTTTCTAAAAGGATCTGATAATGATTACAACTTTGTTTTTCTTTTTCCTTTGTTTTTTTTTCATCATCATCAAATCCAAATTTCCACTCAAAAAACCACAGACACAAGCTGAACAATCTATGAACAAAAGCAACTGAATGTTTGAGAAAACCTAGAAATGTATCAAGATCAGAATGAAGATTTCATATCTTTCAAAATCTTGAGTTTTGAGTCTGGAGATTGGATTTGGATATTTGTTGTATCTATTTGAAATTCATGTCTTTTGACAATGACAATAACAACCATATATATATATATATTGGTCTTTAGATAACCACTATTTAACTTTTGATTGAAGCCACAAACTTTAAAATCACAAGGCAGAGTGAGTTTTGAGTGTGAGACACGCTTCAGGCAAAGCTCACTTGTTAAGTGGATTTCACACAGTGAAATCTATTCAGCAAAGGGCTGTGTGAAGATCACACTCAGAGAATTGGTTGTCATGTGGGTTTGTTGGATTGATTGGCAGTGTGCCCATCACAGTGCCACCTCATTGTGAATGCCAATAATCTGCTCTTCTAGCACTGCCAGCATTAGATAGGTTCCTAGGCTGAGAACTGTTATGATTATTGAAATCACATTGCTATGGATTCACTGTTACGCCCTGACAAGATGTTATGCTGCCCTGAGTTGTACGTGCTGACTGATCGAATGACGTAACATGACGTCACTATGATATGTTTCACTTTATGTTATCAAGATATGTTTCACTTTCAAGACTTATATAGTTGTTTCGAATTCAAAGAACTTGTTCCTCCAATTTGTCAAAACAAATTCTTTTATTCTTTTCTCTTTATCGTTTTTCTTTGATCGTTTAAAAAGTTGTGTCATTTCATTTAGTTCTTTAAAACTCAATACTGCACGACAACCTCTTCAACTACAAAGCTGAATCTAAATCAAACACGAACAATTCACCAAGAAGGAAGGAGGTATAACTATTTCTATATTGATTCCATCTCTATAAAATCGTTATCGTTTAAGTTTCTCTTTATCTAACTCTAAATCATTTCCATTAAATGTAGACTCCCTCTTTGGTTACATTGTTTGATTTAAAATTCGTGTTATAAAGTTGAATCTTATATGTGCAGTTATTGTTAAGGTACTACTTTTTCTCTTTATTTTTCTCTTCATCAAATGTTTTGTTCTTTACTTACAATGATGTTGAACTATTGTTAAGAAATTATAAATATACATTTGACCTAAATAAAGAGAGATCTCACAAATCACTACAAGAACATGGTCAAGAGTAGAATGAGTCATTGAATCATCTTGAACTGCACATCCAAACCAACAAGAATATATCACATATGTGCAAACATCAAATTAAATCCTTAGCTACAAACAGTTCTGCTTCACTCACCATGTATGTATAGAGTTGTCAAGTTGACATGAGAACACAAAGAAATCATTGATAATTTTCATTGTTTTTTGTTTTGCTCATGTTTAGCTAGGCTCACCATTCCCTTTCATAACCAAACAACACTGTTCCTGATCCATTAATCCATTGGGTTGTTTCCCTTGACCAAGCTCTCTGATCATGCTTGAGAGGGCTCAACTGGAGTGTAGAGGTGGGTTTTAAGCCCCCTCAAGTGCCAGAGGGTGGTTCAAGTGTAAAGGTTCATGACCAAGCCCTCTGTTGCTGCAGAGGGCTCAGTCAGAGTCTCAAGCTCTTTATAAAATTCAGATCCCTCTGCTGCTCTAGAGGGCTTGGTCAGAAGCTTGTGGCCCCTCTGAAGTCTTGGAGGGCTTGGTTTGAGGGCAGAGGTTCCAGACTGAGCTCTCTATGGGTTCAGAGGGCTTGGACAGAGTGTAAAGCTCTTTCTAATCCCACTCCTTGAATGTTCATTAGGGTTCAAAAGTCTTTGATTGAGCCCTCTAATGCTTCACAGATCCCAGTTGTGTAGTGATTACAAAGGGCCCTTGGGTCAACATTTTTTAGAACACTAGCAAAAAAGTTTACATGGCTCAAAATATCTGTTTTGTGTGCTCATGTCAACATAACACTACCATAAACTGTATGGTAGTACAGCCATGGTGAGTACTATCTGCTCATCTCAATAAGAAAATCACATGTAACACATTCTGTAACTTTTGTTCAGATTGATACAGACATTTTATAAGAATTGACTACATATATCACACCGCGGGAATGAATTAGTTCAAAACCCGATTGAGGAAAGTTGTGGTGTCCGAGTCCGCAACTTCCTTCAATTGTGAATTTCGTTCACAACACGTTCACAATGGGTTCACAGGTTCCCCTCGAGATGCCCTGTCTATTTGCTGTGTGTGTAAAGCATGTATACATAGGCAATACTCCCATTCACAGTATCAACTATCATTGATCTCATTCATATCTTTGGCTCCAGGCTCACTGTCAGAGCTGGCAGAATGGTTGCATGACAGCAATTCCAGGTGAGCTGTTGCTCTGTGTTTTATGTTGTGTATGGTATCGCTCGAGGGGAACCTGTGAACCCATTGTGAACGTATTGCAAACGAAATTCACGATTGAAGGAAGTTGCGGACTCGGACACCGCAACTTTCCTCAATCGGGTTTTGAACTAAATTATTCCCGCGGTGTCACAATGGCTACTTGAGAAATATTGATGAAGCTGTTTAACAGTGTAGAAGAAAGGAAATTTGGGTTCCTAGAGTAGAATACATTTCATATTCTGGAAGATCTTCAATGTTGACCTGCTTGATAGGTGGGGCTTCTCAGGTTCACCACCTCTGGCTTGTTTCAAGCCAGAAAACCTCACAGATGTGTCATATTCATTGTGCTGCAAGCTCATTACCACATGAGTCTTTGGAGCATCCACAATGGTCCTTGTATTTTAAGGGGTCAAAATCAGACCCTTGGATGCATTGTTTGGATATAAGGTGTTATGAATAGGCCCTTGCTATTTGCAGCCCACACGAAATCCATGTAGGCGCTGCCAAAACAGCGCCTACATGAAGGTTTCCCCCAAAAAAGCGCCTACATTTATGATGTAGGCGCTTTTTCCTTTTTCAAATGACGCCTACAGGCTGAAAAACCAATGTAGGCGTCATTTGTGTACGCCTACATTCTAAAAATAAAATGTAGGCGTAAATTTGAAGCGCCTACATCTTTTTTTTGACTGTAGGCATAATTTTTGTGCGCCTACATATTTTAATACCAACACCCTTATAATTCAATACCAAAACCCTTATGATTTAATTCCAACACCCTTATAATTAATTATAAGACCCTTATAATTTTATAATCAAATGCGCATTCTTACATTTAATACCCTTATCATTTAATACCCACACCCTTATATTTAATCTCACCCCCCTTATAATTGATCTCACCACCCTTATAATTTAATACCAACACCCTTATATATTAATACCAGCACCCTTATAGATTTGTATTCACACGTGTATAAGACCCTTATAACTAACTTAAGCGCCTACATGGAAAAAACAATGTAGGCGCTCAAAAAAAGCGCCTACATTTTATTTTTAGAATGTAGGCGCTTGAAAATAGCGCCTACATTTTATTTTTAGAATGTAGGCGTACACAAATGACGCCTACATTGGTTTTTCAGCCTGTAGGCGTCATTTGAAAAAGGAAAGAGCGCCTACATCATAAATTCAGGCGCTTTTTCGTGGGAAACCTTCATGTAGGCGCTGGTTTGGCAGCGCCTACATGGATTTCATGTGGGCTGCAAATAGCAACGGCCTATGAATATCAATCATGTGATTGTTGTTGTTGTTACATCATAGGATCTTTGCTAATAACTTTCTCTGTAACATTATACTTATGACCATATTAGCATTAGTTCTATTTATACTGTTAGTTTGTGTGTTGTTTGGTTTGGTTCTCTTCTTCTTTACCTTTCCATTCCTGTCTAACACTTTCTGTCAGGTATGTTTACTATTTGCAATCAGACCTTTCCATTACTGTCTATTGTTGCCTACCTACGTTTCTACAAACACAAAGATTTATCAAACCATTTTGTGATTCATAAGGCTAATTTCATGGATATCAAGAAGGAGAACTTCAACTGGCCAGTTGCTTTCAGATACAAAATCGCCATTTGGACCACTGTCATGACTGTGCGGAACACCAACGGGAAGTTAGCAAACCTGCCGTTAGAAACAAACAATTTGAACGTACCGCTTTTTGCGACACAGAGTGGTTTAGTGATTTCCTTCCGGCCTTCAACAACATTAATCCGTATGCAGACGGATGTGTAAAAGCAACCTTTGACCCCATCACCAGCAAAGACCTGCACGTCAGCATGAACACTCAACTTTGATTAGGCAACTCTTCAGCCCATGTGAACAAATCTAACTTACACGTAGCCAATAGCCCATTTGGAGCCAGCTTATACAACACAAGCGCTCACGGCCCAGGCAAACTGACTGCGCGATCCTGGGCTCACGCCAACCAGCCCATCTACGATGGCCCAGGGGGGGTGACCTACAGTTACGGTAATTGGGAAGACCACCGGAACGCTGGCAGAAACATTAGAGGCAGAGGCCGTGGTGGTGGTAGAACTCCGGAAGAGATTTCAGCCCTCATTCTTGTAGATTCCACAA